GTTACACCATTGAATCAGAACATGCTGTGGAAAAGATCTAAACTGGAACAGGCACCATCAGTCAAATATTAGGCACAATATTAAAATATTAGAAAAACACCCCTCCCTCTATTATGAATAATAGTCATGCCAGTTTGTTGCTCAGTTGTTAGAATTACTTTTATTTAATTATTGGGTCTCCATTAATTATTCAGCATTGAACCTGCTTAATCCAAAATCCGGACTGAAAACAGTTTTTTATTTTATTCTGATTGAATAATTATTCGAAAGTTGTTTTAAAAATATATTTCACAGCCATTACAAAGACTCCTTTCTGGACTCCTAATAAATCTGGGATATACTTTAAGATTGTTCTTATTTATCTTTGAGTATTGTTGACAAACTTTCAAACCCAAACAGCAAAGCAGCTCTAGACTCCTCATTAAATAAGAATCTGATATTGAAGGCAGTTCTCCTGATAGAGAAAAACTATTCTGTATATTCAAACAAGATCCCATCTATTGCAAGATATGAATCTACAGAGCCCTCTAGGAGACATCAGGATATTTTTTTTCTTTCGTGTTACCTTGCAATGCGGCATAATTGAGTACTGTAAGCCTTTCTTACGGTGCCCTTCATACTTTCTGCTATAACATAAGGCTTTCGTGAGGTTTTTTCATGTATGCTAATGTCTCGTGAAATATCTGAAGTTTTATATCTTTATCTTTAGGACAGAAACACATCACAAACCTATGATATAAACAGAAACTGAATAAGTCGATTTTTAATCAGACTTAATAATAAACGCATTTTCACTGAGGCTCTTTAAATGTGTGTTTATTTGAAATGTTAAACTAACATTCATGACTGTACACAAAATAGACCAGCAAATATTGCAGTAAACATATTGCGAGGGAACGCAAATGTTTTGTGAGGTAACGCAAAAGAAAAAAAAAATTCCCATGTGCCCTGTAGGGCTCCGTATGAATCACTGTCATTTTATGGTACGTTGCAGGTAAAAAAAACAAACAAAAACATTAAGTACTTTTGTCTGACTTTTTTTTTTTTTTGTGGGAAATTTAGTTTGTTGACCCGATGTAGTTTCCACAATTCATTTAGGTTTGACGAATCTACCAACAAACTAAGGATCTTAAGAATTTGATTTGTAAATATCTTTTTTTTTATTTTCCACCTGTTTATCTTGTTAAAATGTGATTTGTTTTCATAGATGTTCCAACACTTAATGCAACAGAGGGCACTGATGTCATGTTGCAGTGTTTTCCCAGTGGAAAGATCGACCTCACACATCAAATGTTCGACTGGAAGAAAGATGATACGCAGGAGGTGTTTTTATATGACAATGGCAGTCATTACAACAATGGAAAATCTGGTCAACATAAAAATTTCAAAAATCGTGTCGAGTTTTTCCAAGATCAGCTCCAGTTTGGCAATGCCTCCATACGTATCAAAAACGCAAAGAGGAATGACAGTGGAAACTACATTTGTAAATTTCCAAAGCTTCAGCCACTAGGACAGATGTTCTACATGAAGCTTGTTGTTCGTAAGTACAAAACATTTTACCCAATCTTGAAAGAAAGTTGAGTTCCACTGCTGATAGCACTTATGTTTAAAATTTTTCACACGCAACTAATTAACTCACTTAGACGACAATGTTTACCTTTCACAGCAGAGATTTGGATCAAATTACTTTCACTGTTAATTTTTGTTAATGAACAAAGTCATTTCTTATTGTATTACAAAGCCTTGTTTAGATTGTGTTATTTGACTTTAGATGATTAATTTAAATATGAAAGTTAGTCATCCTTACACATCTAAAATTTTAAGAACACAGAAGAAAAGGAAAATGGTTATCTGCAGAATTTAAATGTTAACAGTAAATGATTTGATGTTTAAATGAATTTGATTAAAATCTTTCCATAACAATAAATCTCTTCTTTCTCAGTGACTGAGGATGTCAGAGAAGAGTTGTTGAATCTTTAGAATGTAGTATTTTATGATTTTCAAAGTTTTCTCAAATAGATTTGATCTTTGCTCTAAGATTGAGCTGCATGATGTTAGGGGAAAAATGTAATTACAATATTATTTTTGAACGTTAATGTGATATGAACTGTTGAGGTCAAATTAATTTTCTTAATTCCATTTGTCTTGTCACTGTTAAAAAAGTAAATAAGTCTTACCTAAGGTGAAACACTGAGTCAATCAAGAACTAATCAAAATGCATTTTGATTATTATTTTATTAAGAAATTGAGCAAAGAATATGAGCAATGACTCCCCTGGTTAGTCCAGGGGAGTGAAGAAAAGATGAAAATACATTACTTTTAATATCCACCAGTTAGGGTTAGGGTTATGGTATGGGTAAGGGTTTGGATAGGGTTGGGATTAGGGTTAGGGGATGGGTAGGGTTGCTCCCATCCCTGTTACAGAGATGGAGCAAAAGGGAGTATCCCACCAGTTTCAGTTTACTTCACAACTCTGGAGCTCATCTGCAGACTATGAACCTGGATGGTTCAAACCCAGTTTAGAAATACTTTTTATGATGTGTTTCCAGCGAACTGCCTCCAACATGAAGGGTGCTTTATAGCTAAAATTGATTGATTGATTGATTGATTGATTGATTGATTGATTGATTGAAAACAAAGTTTGACATAACAGTTCCTCCCTTTGATCGTATGAAGGATCACCTTAAAAACTGTGCTATCAGGAGATACATAACATATAAGTAAAGAAAGTCTTGTAACATAAAAAATTCCAAAGTAAAAGAAATAAAAACCTTAGTATAATGAGCTCCTTTAGAAAAGGGCATACTTCAGAGTTAACAGTAAAAAATGATTAATGCAATATATATAAAATAAATACAACATAATGATAAGAAGTTGAGTTTTAAGAAATCATCCCAGGCAATTTGTTCAGGAGTTTCTTCAGGTTCCAACAAAAACATAATCTAGCAAACTTAAGGAGACTCAGGTACAACAATTAAACATTTTCTTTACTGTTTCAAAATTCAACAAAACTGCACCATATGGACTCTACAAGTGAGGAAAAAAGAAAAAAATGTTCAAGGATAAAATATTTCCCTTTTTCCCTCTGCAGTGCTTGTCATATTTATCAGTACCCCTTGGTAAGATCTTTAATTAAAACACATTTATTTAGTGAGGAAAAATATTTAATTTAGTCTTTCCTGAAAGGTTTAGACACTGTTTTTGATTTTAGTTATAAACTGTGTACCTTAATTTATAGGATAAGCTTTTTGATACTACTTCAGAGGTTGCTGAGAAAGCATTTTCCATAACTTTATTTCCAATTATGCTCCTATCTCATATGAAACAATGGTATTCACATCAACTACATTTGTTTTCTTATTTTTCATTTATCTCACTTCCCTTTTTTCCCATTCATACATTAAATACTGAGTTGGATCAACATCCTGCTCACTTGTTACAAGACATTACCATCTTAAACCAAAACAGCTGAGGCACAGCAGTCGAGCGACTACTCCCATGACTTTAAAAAAAACTGTAATTTTATTTATTTATTATTGCACATTTACTATTTTAGGGTAGCACATGTCAAGTTATTCTACTAAGTTCATAAATTCAAAAGTTCATCACATTTTTTGCAGAAAACCCCAAACTCATATGTTTTAGTTAATAGCTGATGATACATTAAAACATGTTTAGTGGATTTAATTTTAAAAGCGTGCTAATTCCTTGCCTCAAAATAAGAGATTCAAAACTCAAAATTTGCCCAAGTTATACATTAAATTTACACAACCCTCCTGGCTTGATCAGTTTGAGGTGCATTTACTTACAAATCTAAGGAGCTCATCTTAAGTTATCCTAAATGAATCTAGGTAATTGCCATAATCTATTTTACATTCTGGCTTGAATCTAAACCCCGAAACCACTTATATAAAGAAATAATCCTGGACTGAAGACTGTTTAAGACTCCTGTTGTCAAGACTCTGAGTTTAGGGTTGGAACTTTGTTTGTTTGTTGGTTTCTTTTCTCATTTCAGTCTCTTGTAGTGTTTCTAGTGATTTTGTGCCTAGCTATTTTTTTAGTGCCTTTTGTCCTTCCTTGCTAAAATACTAGATTTATTTGTATTCTTATTAATGTCATGTAACTGAAGTGTTTTTATAGACTAGTTTGTTTCAGCTTAATTTGTTTAACTTTTCACAAGAAAAAAATTATTTAAAAACATAATCTTGCTGATGTTGGCATTTCTAATTTAAATTCTCACTCCTGTTGCTATGAATGAACTGAATTACTTCATCTTCAGTTAATGCAAAGTTTAAATTATGTATTTTATGTCGTTCACAAAATATTCATATATATTTTTTTCATAATTTATCTTCCTATTTCTGATAATGTTGGGATCTTAAAAACCTTTTCAGCAATGTTTAGTTTGCCTTGTTCTACGTGCACACTGAGTCATTTTTTTAAACTCTTTACCAAAGCCTTTACATTTTTTATGATTATACTATTATTTTTATGATCTAATTCACATGCTTCCGTAACAATATGGGGAATTTTACTCACTTGGAAAATCTGTCCTAGCGTTCCTTAGTTTGTCCCGTGTTTACTCGATCCTCCAGGACTGGCGGAGGTCCGACCTTTTCTCCGAGCCTCAGCTCAACTGTGCATAGCTTCAAACTCTGTCAATTCCTACGTTTAGTCCCGGGGGATTCTGGGCATCTGACTCAGAAATGAACATTTCAAATATTAGAAAATATCATTGTGAAAAAACTTCACAAAGACAGATATTCCAAGAACGATTTTAATTATTTACCTGGATGCCTCTTCCACTGAACACATAGATCGCTCCACTGACAGATAAACAGTTTGTACACAAACATCACTCATACACACTCATTCCCTCACATTTATTTGTAAAACCTTTTATGTAGAGACTGAAAAATTAAGTTGGTTTCCCCCTATTTGCTATTTAGACCTAAACTTGCTTCTAAGATTTACCAAAAACATTTTGTCACCCATTTTTTGTTTTTAGACTGGCCAAGCAGGAAACTGTGGAACCGAACAGAGACTCCCCTGTTTAAAATGCAGGTGGATTAGCTGGTCAAGCATCCGCACCGTTCCACAAATTTCCAGATCTCCAGAATTCAGTTAGGTCTGTCTGTTCGTTTACGCAAGCTATGCAGGCCCAAATCGTTCTATTTGCAGACTTAATAGTGGACTGTCAGGGAAAAAGTAAGTGCAAACTGAATATGGATTCTTATTGTACAGCTGGAACATCTTCTGAGCCGGCTTCCTTCCTTAACTTCATGGCGTAGAAGGAGCAAAGACACACCTGGACTCCCTATTGAAGGGTATCCCCAATATTCTACATAGTAGAGAAGTTTAACCAACTTCTATACAGACTTTCAACTGGATAAAAGGAGCTGTTTATAAAACAGAAATGTCGCTTGTGTTGACTCCTATAAGCCTCCCCAAAGTCTACCGAGTACACCAGCACTGCACCTTTTGCAGTGATTACCCAAAACACTGACTCTTTCCCCCGAGGTCACACCAACAGCCTAAAGTTATTTACTTTTAGAAATTACAAAATTGAAATAGTGTTCCACTAGGGTACAAAAATGTGAGGCTCTTTAAGGGGTGTGTGTTACTGACCACGCAGAGACTCGAAAATAAATTTTCCAGGCTGATCATTATAAACGTAGTGCAGTCTCTGCCCAGTCAGAATTCCCACCTGACACCAAATTGTTAAGGAAATATAAATAAGTCTTACCTAAGGTGAAACACTGAGTCAATCCAGAACGATTGATAAAAGAAGATGAAAGTAGATTGTTTTTAATATCCACCAGCCCTCTTACAGAGAGGGGAGCAAAAGGGAGGATCCCACCAGCTTCAGTTTACTTCACAACTCTGGTATTTGCACCTGCTGACTGTGAACCTGGATGGTTCAAACCCAGTTCAGAAATGCTTTTTATTATGTGTTTCCAGCAAACTGCCTCCAACATGAAGGGTGCTTTATAGCTAAAATTGATTGATTAATTGATTACTTGATTGATTGATAGATTGAAATAAAACAAAGTTTTACATAACATCACTTTTCACTGTAATATGGCAAGAACAACACTTCTGAACTTCTTTTTCTTTCTTTATGTTTATGCAAACATGATATTGCACGGGCAAGTGTGTAACATACCTTCTGTTTCCCCTTCAGAATGTATCAACTTAAAGGACAGAACACACATCTGTGGATCGGGTGAGTCGTGATTCCTGTGAAGTTAACTTGTTTTATTATTATTATTATTATTATTATTATTATTATTATTATTGTGTTGTTACTAATGATGGATAAAAACATTAAAGTTGTGTTTCATTAATGAAACCCATAAAAAGTTTAGTCATCTCATTGGTCCCACCAAGATCAATCTTTATAGAAATTTGATCGAATCTTTTTGCGACATAACTGATCCCAGATCACATTTAGGCTACCTAAATGTATGTATGTATGTATGTATCGACATAAATGTATGTATCTACATACCTAAATCCACTACATACATTAACCCCAGACATACAGTCTTATTCAGTACATTAGCATATGAGTTCTGATTTGGCTCATTTGTCAGATTAAAAGTACATGTTGAAAGTAAACATGCTTCATTAAGTCCAAATTTCTGCCTTTAAAATGTTTATTCTAATGGTCTGATGTAATCTAATTTTAAATTGCATGTTTTAATACATGTAAGTGGAAAATCACTGTAAGTAACAAAAATAAATACTTTCAAACAGGGCCGGTGCCGCCCACTTGTGTGGCCTAAGCACATACTTTGTGGTGGCATTTTCCCCACTGCAAAGATCAGTAATTTCTCATCTGGTGGTGGAAAGTTGAAGCTAGTGATGATAATGGGATTAAAACAAGTGGAAAATGTTCAATGAGTTAAATGTAACAATGGGAAGTGTACAGAACTAGGACTCATTTTATAATTACAATAAACAACTCCTATTTTAAAAGACAGTAAGTTTGTGAGACTTGCTGTTTTCACATGCTTTAGTTGTTTCATGGTAACTCCTAAAAAAGTGACTTTACAAAAGAAACTACAGATGTGGGTGACTAGTTACATTTACTCAGTTTACTTAAGAAACTTTTCGCAAAGAAATAAAAACTCACTTTTTGGAGTAATTTACTACACTATACTTTTTACTCTTACTCAACTATAATTTTTGGATACCCTACCAATGGGTATTAACTTCACTGAATAAAAAAAATACATCAAATATGGACTCACCTACAATGTAAGTTGAAGTGAAACATTTTGTGTATGTGCAAGCTCTATTGTTATACTGTTTTCTACCTGCTGTGGAAATACTTTAAGATACATACAATATATTTACATTTCCAACTCTAAGTATTAGGGCTTTTTCTGCTTGTTTGAAAAAATGATTTGTCAAGGTTTTTTTCTCCTGCCTGAATCTGTTTTTTAATCATATTTTTTTATACATATTTTTTTCTTTTCAGTCTTTAGATACCAGAATTTAGTTGCAAATATTTAGTAGCACTGTGATGCATAATGGTCATTATACAAGAAAGTGGAAATTATAAATGTATTTTTCTAATCTTTATCTTTTTTATTGCTTGTGCTGTTTTCGCAGATGTTTGTCCAAAGCCAAGACTCAACACTAAAAAAACAGATCATGTCATAAGGGTGATCTGTTCATTTCCTGATGTTTCAAAAGTCAAGATGGAGATGGAGTTGCATAACAGTGATGATGAGCCGGTAAATAAGCCTGTTGATGCTGGAACCTCACAGAATTCACAATACTTCATGTTTTCTGTGACCAAGGAAGGCTACTATCGTTGCCTTGTGAAGCAGAAAGAATTCTGCCATCAAATTTATTCAGTGAAGAATTTTGTTC